CGGGGTGGAGGTGGGGTGTGGGGGGCTGTGGGGAAGGAAGGGGTGGGGTGCAGTGTGGGGGGATGGGATGCAGGGAAGGAACAAGGATGGGGGTGGGGATGTACGGGGGAGTGCGGGGCAGGAGCAAGAATGGGAAGGTGCAGGGTTTGAATACCCGCCTGCTTCGTCTTTGTCTGACGTCGCTGGGAGTTAAACCCCCAGGGGATTGGGCCCCTAGGGTCTGCCCCAGCAACCCACATGAGCCAGCCTGATGCAATGGGCTGACCTTTGCTTTGCTGCTCAGCCTGGGGCCTACTTCTCCCACCAGTAGCTCCCGCCCGTGTCAATGGAGGCTGCTCAGATCCTGCAGCGACAGGAGACCAGGGCGTGGGGTGAGGAGAACGGATCCTACCGGCCGCGTGGCTGGACCTTGCAGAGCTCCTCCTGGCAGGAAGGGAGCAGGCACTGGGCCTTGCGAAACGTCCCCACTCCCATAGCCTGCAAACCAAGCATGCAGGCATGTCAATGCACTTGCTATAGCCGGGACCTAGACCCTCTGGGAAATCAGGGCCTTAAAACGAGACCCCTGGAGAAGCACCAACAACCAGCACTTCCATTTTCTGACCCTCCATTAGCTCCAGCGGTAGTGGAGGCTGATCGTGGTTGGTATTCGAAGGGCTCAGAAGTGGCCCCTCCTTACTTGCCCTGTCGATTTCAGGGCGCCCTAGCAGCTGGCCAGGCCCGTCTCACTATGATCCCTGAGAAGATGCGGCAGCTGCTGCCGGAGGTGGAGCTGGATCCCAGCGTTATCTCCGTCGTGCTCTGCAGCTCCACCGTGGCCTTCCTGGTGCTCAAGTGGATGGTGAAGAAGCTGGTGCAGCAGAGGATGCGGGAGGCCAGGAGGAACCGAGTTCGCGCCCTGGGACAGATGGAAGAAGCTGTCCAGCAGTTCAAACAAGAGGTGACACGCCCGGGTATTCCTCTCGTCCTCAGAAAGGATCGTCCACGCTCATCTCATTAACAGTCTCAAATAAATGTGTCATGGGTCCAGCTGCAAAAAGAACTCCCCTCAGAGCTGGGAGAATGAATGATCCCTGAAGTCT